CTCATGTAGGAAGAACTACCAGAAGATTAAAAATGCTGAAGTCCATTACAGTTACCAATGAATGTGAAAGGAACGATGTCAAACAATTCTAGAACTTTCCCAACTCTTATCTGCATACATAGTGGTAAGGAATTGTGACACCCTGAGCAGACTGGTAAGATGCACATGCATGTCAGCCACTATGTTGGACTGGAAAGGGCACTTAGGGCCTGACATGGACCCCTGTGTCTGGGTGTTCTGAACCTCACAGAGGGTAGACATGCACAAGCACACCCCCAAAACCTTGAGTACCCAAGAGCTATAAGCTTTGGGACAGACTTACACAGAGGATGTAAGGCAAAGGACAGAATCCTTCATCTAGCTTAGTTCATTGTGGCTCTTCCCTGGAGGCTGGGTAGACCATGGGGCTATCCTGCTTTTGGAGGTCTGGATATTTCACTCCATGGAGAGTGAAGCCCTGACCAGGCCCCAGTCAACCCTCACAGCTCCACCGTCCAGTGCTTAGGGCTGAAATCACCCATTTCAACGGTCATCTCTGAATAGAGGTTACAACTGAACTTAGGAAGGAGATTGGGGCCCTCCCTGGTGGTGCAACGCGTTAAGGCGCAGCACTGCAAGCTGACTGCAGCCACTTCAGTGCAAGGTCCATCCCAGGCCCCGGAGGTGACCCGCAGGGTGCAGCAGATTTCTCTTGTCTCCCAGCTGCTCCCCTCAGCAGCATACTTCATCAGTTTGCCTGTTCTGCTCCTCACTCTGCTTCTCTGGTGAATTCTCTCCCCACCCTGCACCTCTGGCCTGTACCCCACCCAGTTCTGTTGCATTAAAAAAAAAAAAATCTTCAAAAGAAAGGGCATCTTCTCTTTGGCCAACACCGTAATGATGTTCACTTTAGCTTCCATGGGAGGTGAGGCTTTGGAGAAAGGCCCGAGCGCAGGACAGAGGGTGAAGGGGGTTTCTGAGGACCTTCCTGGCGGGTACTGTGCTGGTCACCACAGCTGGCCAAGGGCAGCTCCCAGGTCTCCCAAACCCTGCGCTCCCTGTCCCCCAATCCAGACCTGAGTCAAAGGGGGCAGGCCGAGGAGGAAGGAAAGAAGGAGACGGAAAACAATTTTTAAAAACCCTGTGGTCAGAAAAAGTGATAACCTGGAAACACGGTGACCGGCGCCGACGGCACACAAAAGCCGGCAGGCCGGCAGGCCGGCCCCAGCCCGGGTCAGCTTAAGACTTAATATTTGCCTTTCGCTGAGCAAACTAATAAATCCCCTGCAGCTTTAACCACGCAGAGCTCCCAGTTTTTATTTATTGGTTAAAAACACAGGCAGGTCTCGCCCGCCCCCAGCCCTCCCGAGCCCCTGGGCAAACAGCCGTGGCTCATCCACGCTGCTTTCTCCCGTCTGTGTGCCTATTTGTCTTCTCCCTCAACAAACTCGTGTTCGAGGCAACTGGCAACGAGAGCAAACAGCTTTGAAGTGTTCTTCGGTAATGGACTTCCCAGGATGGCCAGCTCGGGGCTTCTGCTGCCCAAGGGCGACCTCCGGCTGGTTAGAAAGGGACATACCGAGGGGCCTCAGAGAACTACCGGGCCCACCTCTTCCTCCCATCTTCCAGATGAGGAAACTGGGTGCAGAGAAGAGTCTTGAGAGTCCTGAGCAAGGTCTGGGAGCAAGGAGCATCTGAGGCAGGACTGGAGCCGGGTTTCAGACACAAAGTTCTGGGCTCTTAGCAGGTCTGGGCAGAGAAGAGGTCCCTTCGCCAGCACTCACCCCAAAAGAGTATAAAGGGCACCAGCCCTGCTGTCTACCAGCCTGGCCGGGCATGAAAGTCAGGTTCAAGGTCAGTGGCCATTTGCGAGGTCACCCTCATGCCCTTGAAATCACGTCCGCCGTAGCAGGAGGGAGACTGACCCCACCGCAAGACCTTCCCATCTCTCCCTCGGCACAATGGACATTTCTCCACGGAGCAAAGGGAGGGGATAAGAGTGCCCTGGTGTAGCAAGTTTTGTGCTATGAAGGACCTCAGAGGGAAGACTGAACAAAATCTTGGGGAAAGGGCACTCTTGGGAGGTTAAGTTATGCTCATAAACAAACCTGAAGCAAGAGGAGTCTGTTCAGGGCCCTCCCTGGAGGTGCAAGGGGTTAAAGCACAGGACTCTGTAGCTGTCCACAGCCACTGCAGCGTGAGTCCGATCCCCAGCCAGGGAGTGACCCACAGGGCGCAGCAGACCTCTCCTGTCTCCCTGCTGCTCCCCTCAGCAGTGGGTTTCAGTCCATCTGCCTGTTCTGCTCCCCACTCTGTCTCTGGTGAATCCTCTCACTGCCCCTGCACCTCTGGCCTGTATCCCAGTTAGGTATGCATAAATAAATAAATCTTTAAAAAAAATGTTTGTTTAAAGAAAAAATAATATGAGTCTGTTCAGTGGTGGATGAAGTATCTTCACACCCACCCTGGGCGTCGGCAGAGGGAAGAAAACAATGGCCCGTTTCCAGGTGATGAACTCTATCAGAAAGGACAGCCTCGTGACCACCAGGGCTAGGAAAGGATTGGGGACCACGTGACCAAACTCTTATTTTGCAGGGGAGAAGCAAAGATGACAGACTTTCTGAGACAACAATTTGCATCTCCTGATCTCCCCCACTTTGGGGTTTTTATCAGCAAGAGACACACCACCCAGATCGAAGACAGATACATCCAGGAGAGGACAAGGTGCTCAAACCCTCATTAAGAAACTGACACCCCGACCTCCCTGGTGGCGCAGCGGGTTAAAGCACAGCACTGAGAAGCTTAAGCCACTTCCCCATGAGTTCAATCCCCGCCCACCCGGAGGTGACCACAGGGCGTGGCAGACCTCTCCTGACCCGCCCGCTGCTCCCCTCAGCAGTGTACTTAGTCCGATCTGCCTGTTCTGCTCCCCGCTCTGTCTCTGGTGAATCCTCTCACCCTCCACATCTCTGGCCTGTCCCCCAGTTCTGTATGAATAAATAAAATAAATCTTAAAAAAAATAAGATAAACTGACACCCCGACACGTGACACGTGTAAAATTCTACTGCTCCCCCTTCTGCTTGTGTGTGTGTCGTTCAACCTTCTCTCTCATGCTCTCCCACACTGCCGAGACAGCTTCCCCGCTCCCGGGGGGCTGGGCGACGCCTCATCATCCACTGTAGGAAGAGGAGTCCCGTGTTCATCAGAGGCAGATCTAGGCAAGAGTGGAACGTCAGGCCATGGCCCACTCTGGGATTCTATGGGGACAGGGAGATGAGAGACAGGAGAATGTTGCCTCTGGCACAGCAGCAAGATTCCTGGAGCCTAAGATGGGCCCTCTGGAAGGAGCTCTTAAAAGAAAAACAGTACCCAGGGTGCCTGGCTAGCACTCCGCAGCAGTGACGACACAGAGCGACAAGAGGGGAAAGAGCCACGGGTGTGAGGAGCTCAGTCTTCATACGGGTAACAGGAGAGTCCCTGCTAGAAGCCGGCATGCTTATCTCCTCCTCCCCAGCCTCCGTGACCTCCGGGGCCACACCGTGCAAGCTGAGCGGGTTACCTGAGCTCCAGAGCTGCAGACGCTCTGTCTCTCAGCAGAAAAGGTGGAGACCTGACCCCCCCGCAAGGAGCCACAGCCTCAGGGGGAGTACAAGCCCCAGAGCCTGGTTTGAGGAACCTCAGAAGAACCCGTAACTTGCCTCTGGGCTGTTCTTACTTGTCATGAGCGCCAAAACCGAGCTGGCACCACCTCCCGCTCCCCTCCGCCCCGCCACCACCACACTCTGTCCCTCACCCTGGATAAAGCCATAGTCTGGAAAGGAAGCGTGAGCTGGGAGGTCCTGTGCAGCCCTAACTGAGCGGGACCCAGAGGTTATCTAGGAGACTTTAGAGAAAAAGTACACACTTAGTCCCAATTTACATGCCCCTGATATCTGAAAGTCTTCTAGTGTTGAAAGGAATTCAGGAAGTCCTCTAGCCAACTCCTCTGCTCTCCAGACAAAACCATCCCAAAGATGTGCTGCTTAGTCTCTGGCAAAGATGCAGCCTTTCCTCAAGCCATTGCCCCGTGACACACACGCACAGAGGATCCACTCACAGCATCATAGGGTCATCGCTACTCCCTGCCCCCAGAGCTGCGCTAGTTTGGGTTTTAAACAACTCATTTGTTCTCACCAAGGAAGGTCAGTGTCCCCTTTTTAAGTAGGACTGTACCGGAGGGGAATCCTCGCTACCTAGAATGTCCGTCCCCAGCACATCTCCAAAGGAAGTGATCGCAACTGGGTCTTTACACTCAGGTTTCATTCATATCATGCAACTCTACCACCTTGGAAATAAGTGACTTGGTCAAGACTGGTGTCTGGTCTACTGGCAACCCTCTAGAAGTTGCCCAGTAGCCAATGATGTGGCCAGCACACGGGCTCCCACTAACCAAGAACATCAGCCCATCCCAGCAGATCAGGCTGAGGCAGAAGCAGTCTTCGAGCCGTCTAGCTGGACGCCAGCAACTGTCCAGAGCCATCACCAATTTAGCAGTGAAAGTCCCACCTCCCCGGAAACCTCCCAGGCTGGGACATTGGAACAACTGGTCACCACCAGAGCAGAAAAAGAGAATGGGGCAGGGAGCTGATGCTGGGCAGATCACCGGGAGGGGCAGCGTGGCCAGCCCTTGCTGGAGACTGGACCTATGACATTATCTTGAGTGGCTCTGGGCAGTAGGGCAGCGCTCGGGCTGTCTCCCGTGTTCCTTACTTCCTGGGCAACCTGTTCACTTGGGATGACGCAAGCAGGTCTCTGTTCCCTGACGTGAGGGCTAACAAGTCCGGTCTGCCTGCACGCCAAGGAAGGAAAATGAAGGAAATTGAAAGAAAGCCGCGGCAGCCCCCACATCCCACATCCCAACGGCACAAACATCCTCCAGAGGGTCCTTGCTCGTTCTGGCGAATCTGCGGTGCCAGGAAGGGTCCCCACTGCTCTTCGAGAAGCCACGAAGTGGCCACAAACATCTAGCACAGGGAAGACTGGGGGTCTGGCTTTAATTCCTTTGACAACGGCCACCCGTCCACCGCCCTGGACACACACAGTCCAATCATCGCGGGTGCTGCATTTTCCACGAGGCTGACGCAGGGCAGCTTGGAGGAGGCTGCCAGGCCTGCATGTGGCCACTACGGAGAAGCCACGCTCTGGCCTGGACCCCACTGCCCCGGGAACGGGGTCCTCACCGCGGCGGTGCGCTGGCGTCGCGGGCGGGGGCGGGCGAAGACGCGCGTGGCCGCGCCAGGACAGCGGGCCTTGGACAGCACCAGCCTGCCCACGCGGCACCCCGCGAGGCCCCGCCGCTCTCTGGGCCGTGGAGAACTCGTGCGCGGGTTCGCTCACTCGAGCCCGTGGGGCCAGGCCACACGGCTGCTGCTCCCGGCGGCTCACGTGGCAGCGTACAAACAGCGGCCGCTTTAGAAGCAGCAGGAACAAAAATTAAGATCCCATTTGCTCCGAGTGTAGTTAACTATTCACTCTGTATCCGGCTGGAAGATAATGGAGCAAACAAGAAGAGGTGCTGAGCCCAAGGGCACAGCCGAGGTGGAAGGTGGGGGGAGAACGGGATGGCGGCCGTGTGGGGGTGGGGAGCCCCAGGAGCTGGCCGGGCAGAGGAACGTCTGTCCGCAGGAGGGAAGCGCGGGCTGGGGCGTGGTGTCTGCGAGGGCGCGAGCCCTCCGGCCCCGGCAGGTCAACACTCAGGTCCTCCTCAGAGGTCTTCTCAAGTCCAGAAGCTGCTTTATTCTCCAAACCCAGAATTCTCCAGCAAGCCCGGGGCTAAGTCAGGGCCTTCGGGCAGGGGTCCTGGCCGCGCCAGAGCTTCCTGGTGGCATGAGGCAAACAGCCCTGAGCAGCCTCCTGTCCAGGCCTGCAGACACAGAGAAGACAGGTTTAGACTGACCCTGGCCTTGCGACAGGTGGCTGTGAGCAACACCCCCTTCGGAGCACCCCGCGGAAGCACCTCGGAAGCAGCCCAGAACCCTGCACACAAACCTCCCCACAAATCTCCCCATGCTGTTTCGGGCACTGCTGGACACGGCCAGCCCGGAGGGAGTGGACACCTGACTCGTCAGCACATGGGGTGTGTCTGTGAGGTGTGGGGCCGAGCCTGGCCGCTTCACAGATGGGGGGCTGAGGCACAGAGCTGTGGATGTGCTCGGTGGGAGGGTCCTGAAGCTCCCTGGGACAGGGCGGTTCTCCACTTTCCCGGAGCTGCATCAGGAAGCCACCCAAGCTCGGGAGGAGGACGTTACAGTTACAGCACAGACAGGCGTCTCAGAGGCGACGGCCGCCAGCCACACAGTTCTTTCTCTGCTGGAGTCCACCCCTGAGGATGGGCTTGGGTGCAGCAGGCCACCTCTGGCCCCCACTTCTAAGTAATGAAGACGCTGGCACTGCTGACTGTCTCAGGGTCTTCGCCAATTTAGCACTGATGAGACCAGACAGGGAGCCCAGATGCTTGCCAGGTGGGAGGCTGTGCCTGGGGCCCAGCGAGGCCTCTCTGCCTGCTGTGCTCCCACCACCACACTGGACTAGACGCTGTGGATGCCACGTAAGGCAGACAGGGACCCGGCGTCACCAGGCCGGCCCGGACAGGAGCCCAGAGCATGTGCCAGGCCCAGGACAAGCCGTCGAGGGCTGTGGAGAGGCCTCTGGGGGAAGCCAGCAGGCCCCTTCCTTCCCGGCACAGACCTGTGGGGGCTGCAGCTCAGCCTGGTGCAAGAGCCCTCCTTCCTCGGGGTGTGCCCCCCGGCAGCTGCTGGGAAATCCCAGAAGGGTGCTGTCAGAAGGGGGGCTCACAGTGAGAGCCCCGAGGAGCCAGTCACAGACATTCCTCTGCAGCAGGACTCAAGGCAAGCGTCTGCATCTTAGCCACCTGCCGTGAGGTGCCCACACAGAGGCGCTTTGCTGGGGACGGCGCTGATGGGAGGCCTAGAGGAAAAGCGGGTGATGGCAGGGCCCCTCGACACTGGCATTGGGACCCCCAGCACTTCCAGTCACCTACCCGCCACCCCCAAGTTCTGCTAACCTTGCTCAGGTTCCCTTTCCCCTCCCGGGCAGCCCTCTCAGCTGTCTCAGCGAGGCCAGGGAAGCCGTGGCCCCCACCCGGCAGCCGCACGCAGCTAGCAAATTAATTGGCAGCAGCCGGATGAATCACACAGGGACTTCCTCCTTGTTGCCCGGCAACCCCATGCACTTGGCAGGGGGACATTAAACACAGAGAAGAATGTTGGGAGGCGTTTGCAAAATAAAATAAAAAGCAAAACACACAACACCCCAGACTCGTCCAGTATGGCAGACCCAGCTAAGATGGGGTGCTGGGGGGTGGGGTGGGGGCAGTCAACACTTACAGGAGAGAGACCAGGGAATCAATGAGGTTAGGACATCGCTGGCCCCAGCCTCCCTCCCTGCCCCCACTATCCCACACTTGGCCAAAGACACGGGCTCTCAGAGCCTGGAGAGAGATAATGGGGGCACCTGGATTCAAAGGCATCTCGAGATTTGAGAGATTACCTAGAAACCCACAGCCTAGAGGGTTTATGGTGCCTGCCAGATGGGGCTGTTTGTGCTTCTCAGGCCTGCATCGTTCCACAGGTTAAGTCACGCTGCCACCTAGGGCAGGAATCCCTTCCCCCAATCCTTTTCCACTTGAATGTTTTCATGCCCGTTGCTATAGCCACCAGGAGCTGATTAGACAAGCCTTCCAACATGCTGCCTTGCCCTGCAGACCCCGCCTGTGGCCCCTGTGAAAAAGCCGGCGGCAGAGCTGAACTGTCCATGCATTTAGGTTTGAAGCAGTGCATGAGAGAAACAGGCACGAGGAAGAGAAGAAAACGGGCAGGCACATCCCATAGCAGGCTGGATAGGAGCCCCCAAAGATAGCCATGCCTTAATCCCTGCACCCTGTAAAGGTTACCTTCCACAGCAGAAGGGGCTGTGCAGATGTAAATGAGGTAAGGATCCTGAACTGATCCTGGATTATCTGGGTAGGCCCCAAATGTAATCATAATGTTCTTGCAAGAGGAGGTGGAAGGAGATAGAGTGGGCGAGGGAGTAGCATAGGGGAGGGAGTAGCAAGGAGAGGGAGTAGCATAGGGGAGGGAGTAGCAAGGAGAGGGAGTA